ACTGGTATAGTAACTACTGAAAGAAGTGAATCTTATCTTTCCCATTCTAATACTGTTTCTAGTACTTTTCCAAGTTCTACCCCATGGTTTCAGTTAGATCTGGGTTAGGTTAAGTTATTTGTTTCTTGATAGTATGTTTTGGTCTAATGTTTCGATATTTGTACTGTAGGCCATACAGTATGCAGTATAATGCCTCCCTTCTTATAATGTCAGCCAAAATATACTCAACTACGCCTCTGATGCTACACACACACACGCAAACACATAAAATGCTTCCATAATCTCTGAGGGGGACAAACCTGTCAAAGTGCTTCAGTACAGAGAAGCTTTTTAGAGGAGAAAAAAAACTTGACATATTACTCCAACACCTGTGACATTACCTGTGAGTGTAATTTGCCTAAGGACATTTAATTTTTTAAATAAAAGTAAATTCCATAGTAGAAAGTAATGAAAGTGGATGGCATCTGAGAGCAATATTTTAACCTCATTAAATATGATGAAAACATATTAGACACCTGATTTGTCAGAGGATATTCCACCAGTTTGGTGTCTTGTCTCCAACACTAACCTATGCTCTAAAAATCACGCAAAGGTAGCATTAGTGTTAAAAGTGAAAAGGTCAGCTACTCCCATCAGATAAGCCTGAGTGGGCAAATTCTCCCATTGGACAAACAACACAAGATTCCTCACACTAGCCTATGTAGATTTGTGTTATTGCTCATCTACTTTGTATTTTACTTGTATTGTGTAGCATTCATGTGGACGGCAAAGTAAGAATTTCATTGTACAGGGAAACACAATTCCTAACTGTGCATATGACAAAGAAATACTTTGACTTGAAGCCTTCAGGTGTGTGGGTGTGTGAGTGGGGGATTATCATGGGAGGGGAGTTCTGCATGCAAAGGCATGGTTATCCCATGTGCTCCTGCCCTCCGTGATGTATCTAAGCATTGGTGTGCCCCCCACCCTATCTTTTCTTGCCCAGCAGTCAGCCACCACCAACAGAGCTGAGCTGGATCTGTGATATGACCTGGTGTTCTTCAAGTAACAGAGAGAGCAAATCTCAGAAAGCACACAAATAATGCATTAAATTCTATGAACATGCTTTAGCTGTAACAGCTCCAGTCTTTACAGAGCCTTCTGTAGGATTTAAGCTACTTTTTTAGGTCTTTGAATCATAATGTGATTCTGTTGGTTA